TCGCTCCGGAGCGATCCAAAATGGTGGCGGGTGCGCACGCAGCTGCCTCCGCTTTTTATCGCCTCACAGCCCAAAAAAGCGCGTGAAGGTTTTCGTTGCCGCTGTTGCTGGGCAGAGTTGAGAGCCGAGATGGCCAGCAGCTAAGAAGCCTGCAGGCTCCCAGAACCTCGGTTGGGGGTTTTTAAGCCCCTGGGCTCAGGTTGGGAAGATCTCCCACCGCCCCTGCTGCTCACCAGCAGCCGCTGGGCGAGGGTTTACAGTCGCCTGAAGCGCTTGCGACCAGCAGCTGCAGAGGAAGCCCGGGTGCCCTCTTAAAGCGACACAAACCTCCAGGAATCAATCTGACAGTTCTTGTAGTAGATAGATAATTCTCTAAATTAAGAAGCCAAATGTGATCCAAAGTGGGAAACTTTCCAGCCTATCTGACCTTAGACTGGAGCACTCCCAAAACAGTCCCAATGGGCGGACTGAGTTTTCAAACTGAGCATGCAGAGGCAAAGGGAGGCGTGGTAAACAGAAAAACATCACTCAGTCCAAGGGCAGATAGGCTGTGTTAACCCACTATTGGACTCTCCGAGCAGTGCACTGGAGAACTTATTATTTTTGAGGTGGAGGCGGCGGCGAGCATGGTCACTTCATGGCTGCTGCTGTGTTGCAATATTTTCAGGGAGGGCTTATTTTGGGGGGAGGGCTTATTTTAGTGCATGCGCTCAAAAGCCCAATTGGGCTTATTATCCGGGGAGGGCTTATTTTGGGGGAAACAGGTAGTTTTCTTGGCAACATTACAGAAACAATTTGGCCTTTTTAAATAGATTGTACTCATTTGTTAAATATATAGCCTATTTTTCTCCAAAGGTTTAAGGTAGGAAACTTACACTGGGTGATTTTTTTATTGAAACAGCAATCTTGTAAGGTAGGTTGAACTGAATGATGGTTTAATAACCCGCTGAAGGTCAGTCTGAACACAGGTTTCTCTGGGCCAGCTCAACCACTTCACAATGTGATGAAGAGATGCTTTTATTCATATATCCTAAAATATTTTCTCAATATTAAAATCTACATCTACTTTTTTTGAAGAGAGAAATAACAAAGTCCTTGAAGTGGCACATACCAACTTAGTGTGGAGGATGTATATGTATCTGGAAGACAACTCCAAGCTTTCTCACATATTATACATCATACTTCAGAGGACCCAATTTACCTCTCTCAGTCCAACTCACCTCACAAGAATGGTTGTTGTTGGGAAAATAGGAGGAGGAAGGTGTACTGAATGTTTGCCACCTTGAGTTATTTGTAAAAAAAAACAAAAAACAATACAGATGACGATTTACAAATGAGAGGGAAGTACTATTGAATTTGTTACATCGTTAAGAGTTCATTAAAAAGTGGTGCCAAAGCCTCAGATAATTAATAGTATAATACCTAAATTATAGCATTCCTAAATCTATTGTCACTAAAATATTGGAAGTCTTATAAAAGCCAGAAAAAAATGTAAATGGAGACAATCTAGATTTATTTAAGCCAGTACAAAAATACATAGCACATAAAAGTTATACATTAAAAATGTTTATTCCTAATGCTAAATTGTTCTATATAGGAAAAATAGTAACAGGAAGTTTAACAGTGTAGAAAATAAAACTATAAGACTTGCTTACCTAGGCAGTATATATATATTTTCTAAAACTTGGCACTAAAAATGTGTATATTACAAAAAAGCAAATGAACTGAGAACTATTTAATATGGCAGTAAATCTATCCAGTAGATTAACATTTTGTCTAACAAGTACCTGAGAGCAACTGCCTCAGTAGAGCAGGTTAGCAAAAATACAATAATTTGACTGAATTATGAGAATTCCAGTCTAACAGCATCCCTTATTCTACATGTTTATTTGCATAAATTGTCCACAAGCATTTTATGACAATTTTGGTGCACAGTATAATCAAGGTAACAGTAGACGAAGGCAGCTGTGTGCGAAGTAATCCATTTTTTAGCCTGCATCACCTAAATGCTACCATTATCTACTTAACAAGCCAGCATAAGTAGACAAGAAAATAAAATTCTAATATAATAGATCCCTTTAATCTACCTTCAAAGTCAAGATAGTTCATTCTTCTAAATAGCTGGCAGGTGCAAAATCTATAGTTAAATCATTTTGATTAAAATATTGGTTCTGATGATTTATAGCAGTTGGAGAAACTACACATCTCTTTGTAGAACTGACACTTTTGTGATGTGCAAACCCAGCTACAATCATAGTGTTTAAATTCAACGGCAAAGCAGTAATAAATGAAGGAAAATCTTCCATGATTTAAAATTGAAAACAACCCCCCCCAAAAAAATATGTAAACAAGGAAAAGGGTGACGTAATCCAAATTTCACTATTCCCCCCTCTATCCCCCCTCCCCCAAATTGTTTCTGGCTAAGACAGCATGGAGCCCATAACATTTAAAAAGTTGCTTCTTGATTGAATGGACAATGTTCTTACTGGCCAAAGCTTGCAAAGCGCCTATTGCTAATTGTTGAGAGGGGGTGTCTCATTATGGGGAATACAGGGCTTGTTTTCCAAATTGCAGTAAACCTATAGAAGATATGAAGTGCACTTGTACTTCATATCTCAAAACAGCAATTAATTTGCAACATTATGGATGAGAGTATTTCCGAGGCTGCAAAAAAGGCTCAAGACCATCATGTTTCTGTGAAGCTCCAGGATTCTCTTTTCTGTTTTACATTAGACTATTCCAGAACAACTGTCAGTTACCCACTCTGCATATTACAAGTATGCATTCTGAAGTTCTGTGTTTACTTTCAACAGTTTAAGGCTAAGAGAATGTATTTTAAAGTGCAGCAAACAATCTGTGCGATCCCAGACAGTAACATACTGCTGGAGTAGGATTTCTTGTTAGTGTTGTTACAATGTCCAGCATAGTTCTTTGCCCCCCTCCTCTAACAAAAAGCATAAATATGCAAAACAATAATAATTACATGCTAAATAATGTCTCCAGTACACATAATTTGGCTTTTGGTGCCAGATCAGGAATGACTGCATATTTAACACAGAATATGTAAGATTTACCTGTTTCACAGACTTCAATTTAGAGTTAAATTTAACCCACAAACCCATTAAGGACATAACTGTACCTTACATGCAAAGTCATGAACCAGGATTTGTCCTGGCAGTAGAACAAAAGGGTGGAAATGTTTCCTTAGGAAGATATTCACTTACAATCTCAGCATCTTGGATGAGAAATCTTTTCAGTTCTGATAATTTTAGTATTTAACCTTATTTCTTTTTGAAATTTAGAAAAACTGTAATGCTTTAGAATGTTTTTAATAATGAAAAGGTGATTAACAAGTTTTATTAAAAGACATAAGCTTTTATGAGTTGTACTCACTTTATCGGATGCATGAAGTGGATAAACAGGAGGAGGATTTGAAAAGAAAAGAAAATGCAGCAAGTGGAGGAGAAAAGGGTAATTATGCATATGCAAGTTACATGTGGGACAAATTATAAGTACCTCATGAATTAGTAATAGCAATGTATTAAAATCTTTTGTGTTTGTTAAACCTTAGAAAGCCTGAAGATATTTTATGTGAGTTGATTCTGGGGTTGTTTTGTTTTAATATTGCAAATGTGAGCTAAAATTCATGAAAGCATGTGCCTTTTAATAAAATCTTGTTAGTCAAAAAAAAGTGTCCTACCATCTACCATAGATTTTTGGCTGCCAATCTCACAGAGTTCTCCTTTACAATGTCTTTAATGTTTAAAAGAGATTTATTATATTTTGCAATCTCTCTATATACAAGGCCAGGAATTTGTGGTTCACTGAGTCAAATAAACTGAAGCTAGGTTTTCTTTAGTGAAAAGCAAACTGGATTTCATTCAGCAGAATATTTTGATTTGAGCCATTTTTCAATTTGACAGCTCCTTAAAATTCAGAATTTTCTGGATAAACACTATCCAGATACTACAGTTTTCCTCATGTTTCAGTGTAAATGGGTGTGAGGCCTATGATAGGGTAACTGATAGTAGAATATACTATCATTTCTTTTAAAGACTTGTGTTTACAAGTTTGCTGTGTACAATGTTGTGTTTACAACATTGTAAATCTGATTTGCTTTGCAACAATATGAAAACCTCACACAGATACAAAAGCTTCATTTGCAAGGCTGGTGAGGCTCCTTTGAAAACAGCTTCAACCACATCAAAGCGAACACCCCAGAATTCACTTTCTTCAAAATGGGACCTGTTTAATGATTTAGCGTGATATGTAAACCTATTTCAAAAAGGAAGCTAGACTTGATAGACTGGGGGTATAACTTCCAACTGCATGCTTTTTCTATATTCAAAAAGCTTGCAATAAACTTTTGCAAAACTATTTTTTCCAAGAAATAAATGTGCATTTCAAAACACTTAAATCACCAAAGGGCAAACTCTCATTTATAAACAATCTTTTAAAAAGCTACCACCTTTAAAAAAAAACCAGTGATGAGATTTTTATTTAAAAAAGGATTCTGATTGTATAGAAAAAAAGCCAAGTAAATAAAAGAAAACCTTTTACTTGGGGAAAACACCCACATTTTAGCACTGTAGTTTGCTTTTCCTCATTTCTTCAGGAGAAAACTGCATTTAAAACCTTACTCTTTAGAACATTTATCTGTTCTTTATCTGTAATAGGTACTGATAAGTCTATAAAGGTTTTAAAACAATTCTGACCAAGATAACCCAAACAATGTGTAACACACACTTAAAAGTGCTTCGCTAGGTTCAGGGGAAAAAAATTAGATGGACATTTGTTTGGGTAACATTTCTGTTGATTGTGAATGTAGGTCTACCTTCCCCATAAACTGCAGCTCAGAGTATCATCTTATTTATATACAGCTTCATGCAATGAGATGTAGGAACTACATTTCATTCACACAGATAGCATGACTTCAAGGAAAATGCAGTTAAAGTTGGAAGGGATCAACAAGCCAAAGTCATGAGAGTCTGAACAATAGGCTTGCTTGATTTCAATGATGCATTTTCTTGCTGCACCCAATCTAGACCAACAACACTTGCTGCATTTGAGATTATTAATCCTGTTTCACTACATATATAATTCCTTGCAGCCTATATGCAATCTATTCATCGTATGTGCAGTCCAGTATAAATAATTGATTCCAAATGTGGCAATCTTCAGATTGTGCAAATACGAAGTAACCATCCAATTCCATTCAGAGACTGCATACTACAGTGATTTGTCAACATCTTGCTAAAAAGTGAGAGTTACTCTGGTAAGCATGCCTTTTGTCATACAGCGCTTTTCCCTTTAATGTCCATCTTGATGCTAGCTTCAGACTGTTTATTTATTTGTTCTTCTGTAAAAGTGATGTAGGAATATACGAGGCTTCCAGCAATACTGCAAAACATTAGCATTTAGAATTAATAAACAAAAATGTCTTCATGAAATATTAAATTAGTGGTCAATACAGTAGCAGCCATGGACACCCACAAGACCCTCACTAAATTCTTTGTGTTCCCCAGCCAGATATCATTTCTCCTCACCCACACACACCCACAGTCCAATTTGCATTTCTTCCTTCACAGAAACTGCATATATTTACCACATTTTATTTCAGACATAGAAACAAAAGTGGAATTATTTCAATTCATTCTGTACTGTGGATATGGTGATGGATAGAAGGATTTGATTATGAGGGCATGTTGTGAGTATATGTCAGAGGCATGTTGGGATGTTCCCACCAGTACTCTAGAAGTTACAGAAGTTGTTCCCATTTAAGACAATAGTGAATACTAGAAGAAAATTTTAACAGCCATCTATAAATAGCCAATGAAAAAAACCTCCATATTTTAATACTTGAACTTGATTACATAAAAAATGAAATTTTATCAGAATTGTTGATTTAAAGTTAACTTCATATTAAGATCTTTCTAATTCCAGTCTTCCAATTTCTTTTAATTCCAATTCATTTTTAATTTCTTAATTAAGCTTTGATTCAGAAATAATTTAGTAAATATGTTGATCTTATAAGGCTTTCATTCCAACCCACATAAGGCCAGACTGAGCAAATTAAAAGTTTACACAGTACCCAAATGAGATATGTCATTGTTTTTTTGCTATTTATGTGTTTATTAAATTTATTTGCCACCTATTGCACTATGAGTGGGCTATATCCTTGAATTACATCATTTATACACTTTTTGAGATAAGAAAAACTCGTAGCAGAAAAAACAGACTCCGGTGTGAACAAACTTAAAACTCATATACCAATAAAAAACAATTAGTTAACTAGCAGTCGTATGATTAAATAATCCCAGAAGGCAAGCAACGCCTACGAATATCATTCAGACAACAAAGATCTTCAATATATTCAGTAGTATCAGGCAGCACAGTAGCATATTCCAATACATTTCATATTTTGGTATATACTGTGTGTGTGTGTGTGTGTGTGTGTGTGTGTGTGTGTGTGTGTGTGTGTGT